AGCTGCTGCTGAGTGGTGGTGGCACACAATTTTAATCCCAGCACTTGAGAGGCAGGGGCAGGTGGATCTCTATGAGTTCGTGACCAGCCTGGTCTGCAGAGCAAGTTCCATGACAGCCAGGGCTACACAAAGAAACCCTGCCTCCAAATAATAAGTAAATAAACAAACAAATAAATAACAAAACAAAAAACAAACCAAAACCCATGCCCCCCCCCAAAAAAAACCAGAAATACAATTTAAGGAATACATCATGATCTTTATGAAATACCCCAATGATCCCTTCATGCTTCCCCAATACACCTTCCCATACCTGCATAACCTTGTTTTAGACATAGAGTTCAGCATTTTCACAGGCTTAACTAAGTATTGAGCCAGACACATCCTGTTCTTGCTGAATATTAGCCCATAGGAATGACAGTCAGTTAACCACAATCATATTCTGACTGACATCTGGCTACAGAGTTCTTGTACCCAATACTACCTGACTGACCCAGTCAAAAATAGGAGCCAATAATAAAGCTGTTCATGTAAACCTGTTTGTTTGTTTGGTTTTGATTTGTTGTTGTTGTTGTTGTTGTTGTTTTTTTTTGAGATAGGGTTTTTCTGTATCGCTTGGGAACCTGTTCTGGAACTCACTCTGCTGACCAGGTTATCCTTGAACTCACAGAGATCCACCTGCCTCTGCCTCCTGAGTACTGGGATTAAAGTTGTGCGCCACCACCACCTGGCTGTCCTACTCTTACAAGGTACCTTCATGTAAACTCTTGGCTATGAATGTTGCTTATATGTCTACAGTAGTATTCACAAATTATCTATGTATGTGCTATTTCTTATCCTCAGTAGTGAAATACAAAATGCTATATATAATTATTCATATTGTGGACACTGACCAATCAATCATGTACTACCAAGGTACTAAAACTGGCTCCTGAATGTTGTGCCCTTCATGTCTGGATTATGGGTATATCTGTATTAGGCAGAGGTACTGGCAAGACATGAGGGAGAGACTCAAGGTAGCTTCTATTTATTATGGATATTGGATTGTATATTATTTTAATAATTGATATTATTATGTATACTGGCTGAATATTAACTGATAAACGACAATTTAGACACAGAAAGACAAACACCGAATGATCTCACTGACATGAACTCTAAAAATGTTAATCTCAAACTAATCAAGAAAATAATAGTAGTTAACAGAAACTGTGCAATGTAGAATGAAGGAAGAAATGGACAATAATGAGGAGAAAAAGTTTTGGAGTTCTATGCCACAGTAGAGCTTAAGAAATTAACTGCATTCTGTACCACAAAATAGTTTAAAAGGACTTTGAAAGAAATCCTTCATAAAGAAATGATAAAGGTTTAAGAAGTTGGATATCTCATGAGTTGACTTTTGTACAATTAAAAATAAACCCAAACATTAGGTTGTGCTTATAAATGTGCAAATATTATGCCAATCAAATATCAAATTAAAAAGTCCATTATAGCATGATTAAATGAGGATGCTTGAAGCAAAATATATGAAAGGAATATCCTCAAATGAAGGCTTCATGGTACTCACATATACATGGGCCAGTGATATTCTCCAATAGCAGGAAACAAAATATTTGAGTCACACATTACACTTGCAATTATGCTAAAAGGTTAGAAAAGATCAAGCAACTTCTAAGATGTCCTCCCAGGTAAAAAGGGAAGCTTAACCACCCATCAAAATAATTGCAGGCTTTCTCTTTCATCATTGAGGTTCTTTGCTTATTTCTCATTTTTAATGTAAAAAACATCCAACTTTTCAGAGTTCATTGTGTGTTTGCTAGCATTAAGAAGCTTAAACCTAGGGAGCTAGAGAGATGGTTTTAGTAAAGAGCCATGTCAGGCAAATTTGGAGACCTTAAGTTCTCATCCACAGTGCCCATGTAAAAGCCACATGTGGTTTCTATCTGTAACCCCAGTACTTGGAGGAAGACAGGACAGAAGATAGGCAGACCCTAGGCTCCATGTGTAGCTAGTTAGTCTAGCTGAATTGGTTAGCTCCAGGTCTGGTGAGAAAGCCTGTCTCAAAGCAAGTCAGAGAAGCAATTGAGGAAGACATCTAATGTCAACATCCAGACTCACCCACACCCCTGAGAGTGTGCATACACAGGTACACGTACACACACACATACACACATACACACATACACACATACACACATACACACATACACACACACACACACACACACACACACACACACACACACACATACACGTGGATGTGGTGGTGGGGGAATAAATACAAATGGAGGAAAGCTATAGAGGAATTCTGTATCACAAGACTTCCTTTTACTATACTTCCCAGAATCCTCCTTGACTCCTAGTCCCACCTATCTTGCTGCCTCATTGACCAAACAGTGCTTTATTCATTAACCAATAAGGTAAACATACAGAAGGACATTTCTCATCGTCGTTGACTGTAACTAATAAAACCTACTGATATTTCCAAATGGTTAGTATGAAGGATTCTGAATGTTCTCATCATACAGAAAAAATATATGTGTAATATGATGGGTATGCTAATTACTGGCTTTTATTTTTTTAGGTGACCCCACCATCTCTTCTCTAGACATTTGTGTCTCTTCTGTGGAGGTGAAAACCTGTTTCTGCCAGTTTAATTGCCAGAAAGTTTTAATATAGAAAATTATACATATTTGCTCATGTGTACACTGCAACTGTTTTTTTTTTTAATCTTGAGGCTTAAAAAATACCTATATACACAGCCCACTGTGATTTCTCAACTACTTCTGTAAGTGAGATTATTTTAAGCAAATTCCTAGATAATTCATGTGTGTGGCCACAGTCACTAATTGCACATTGACTTTTTGTTTTGATTTTGAGATAGTGTGGAAGCATGCCTGGAAAGTTTTGAAATTTGACATTGCCCTATTCTGTTACTGTTCTACCTGAAGTTATAGTACTGTATGGAACAATGGCTTTTCCAGGGTTACTTCCCCTGAGTGACTCTTTTATTGTTCTGCTTGAAGTTACAACATTGTATGAGCAGTGGCTTTTCCAGTGTGACTCTGTTTTGAGTGCAAGTATCAAGGAAGGAGGAAAAATTATGCTTTGTTTGGTTTGTGAAGTTAACAGCCACCACCTTCCTGTTGTAGACAATAAGTCTGAGCTTAATAAGTAACTCATTCCTGACTGCAATAAATCACTACCTATGGGCTAACTGATGTGGATTGGAAACATGGGCATATCTAAAACATCAGAAAACAAAATGAAACAGACCTATCTGTGACTTTATCAAACACACCAACCTAACAAAGCATGCAACACCCTGAATAAATCACATAAAAGGAGTGTCATGTAACACTAGGGTGTGGTGGTATCCGTAGACACATCTCACGAGCAGCAGGCAGCAAGCTGTCCCTGGGGCGTCAGCTCAGCATGGTCCCCATGACTTAAGGCAGCCCTTCCAACAGCCTAGTCTTTCATGTAGCTCCAGGCTTGAAAACTGCCATGGGGGTACCATTTGCTTTGGAGGTTTTCATAAAGAACACAATACAGTAATTTAGAGGAAAAGCAAAGCATTTTTACTTGAAAAGCTGAAAGTAAAATTAAAGTCCGTTAGGGCTGGAACATGGCTCTCTCCCCGGTTTAATTACATCTTTACCAGCTTTTTATCCTTCACTGCCTAAGCCAGGCCATCCTGAAACTTTTTCTATAGACCAGACTGACCTCAAACTTAGAGATCTGGCAGTCTCTGCCTTCTCAGTGTTGGGATTAAAGGTGCACACTATCACAGCTGGTTCTAAGCTTCTTTTCACAAGCTGGAAGTTCAGCTGGGTGGGATCTAACCCCGAGGTCACCATTCCCTTTATTCACATTTCTTAATCTACTTATCTCCTTGAATACAGGATTTAGCCTATTCCACATCTTGGTGCCCCTTTTCTCAATGCGTACATTTTGTATTTTTATTTGCTCAGCTTGTTCCTTTTCATTACATATCTTCATTAAAGTTATCACTAATAACCATACAATAGAGACGATACTAGGCTGTTTTGAGATTCCTTCTGCCAATGGAATTAATCTAAAACTCTCCTTGATCCTCAGGCAGATTCTGGACAACGGCAAAAAGCAGCCATATTCTTCACCAAAATATCACAAGAACATTATCTAGGCAACATACTAAAAGTTTTCTCCTCTGAAACCTCTTGAGCCAGCCCTGGACAGTTCAAATAACTCTTAGCACCTCTGTCTTCCACGCGCCAACTAGTATGGCCCATTAAACAGTGCTTAAAGCATTCCACTGCTTTCCCAGCCATAAGTACCAAAGTCCAAATTCCTCCAAACAAAAACATGGCCAGGACTGTCACAGCAATATCCTGGTCCCTGGTACCAACTTCTGTCTTAGGGTTTCTATTTTTGTGACGAGACACCATGGCTGTGGCAACTTTTTTTTTTTTTTTTTTTTTCTGAGACAAGGTTTCTCTGTGGCTTTGGAGGCTGTCCTGGAACTAGCTCTTGTAGACCAGGCTGGTCTCGAACTCACAGAGATCCGCCTGCTTCTGCTTCCCAAGTGCTGGGATTAAAGGCGTGCGCCACTACCACCTGGCTCTTTGGCAACTCTTATAAAGGAAACATTTAATTGGGGTGGCAGCTCACAGTTTCAGAGGTTTATTCCATTATGATCATGTGGTGGTAACACGTATGAACTCACAGACCCTGTGGAAACATTCAGAGCACCAGGAAGGGTCTCATCAGTGAGAGGAGAAGTGAACATGATCTCCCACCCTTAACCAAGGAACTACCTCTAATTGACAACCACCCCCACCCTGAATCTTCTATGATATCTTAGTTTTTTTTTCCTGTTGTCGCAACAAAATGCCACACAAAAGAAAAGGAATGAAGGAAAGTTCATAGTTTTAGGGTATAGTTCATCCCTATTATGTGGCAGGAGCCCCAGGGAACTGGTCACACTGCATCCT